CGGGACTATTTTCCTCCTCCAGCTCTTCACACTCTGAAGTCTGTGAGAGATCACTGCAAGGCATGGGCGATTCACAGCCCAGCCCATTGTCTTGGTATTGCGGCTTGCAGACAGAGTTGATGGTGATGCCATTTCCTTTTTTGGCTTTAGTAGAGGAGGTGGAGACAACGCTGACAGTTGTCTTGTGAGGCTGCTCGTGCTCCTGTGCACTAATAGACTGTGCCTTTGGCTGTGAAATAACCGCACCTGAATCAGGACGTTTGTTGTGAACGTTTCCGCTTCGTCTCAAGTTCCTTGCCTCCTGAGACGGAAAAGGGGGAGCTGGGTCTGGATTACCGTCACTTGGATTACCAAAGCAATGGCCCAGAGAGGAGCAAGGTAGTCCGTGCATGTTGATGGGAGTCAATAAAAGGCACACGGCAACAAATGGTAATTGCATTGACACCAAGTGAGTATAGAGGGTTTCCAGGAAGCAAAGCAAAAGTAGGAAACTACTACTGCACCTTTTAACACGAGACCCTTTGATTCAATGATGCAAACCCTTCCCCAGGATTTGCATAAAACAAACATGTCTTGTTCTTTGAGAGCGTTGAATTGATGACTAACACAACAAATACGTCCACTATTGAAAGCAATAGTTCCACTTATCTGCAGGCGACTTCAAGTTGTGTGCTGACGCAGCTTTTGGTCAGTGAGGCTGGTCAGCTTTTTCCTTTGTCTGTCTTCAATGTAGATTTCCAGTTTGGGTGGTCCTGCATGGCTTTATCCCCTCCATTTGTGGCGACATAAAGCTAATGGCTGTTTCTCCTGAACCTTTATCTGCCCCAGCATAAACTGTCTCCCTAACTACCTGTGTTTTGTGTGCGCTGGGTGTCCAGTTACCCAAACAATGTCGTCCCTTGTCTGTTGTGAGTTTGGATGCTGCGCTCTGCTGTTTGAGTGGTCTGATCAGGTAGTTATTTACAATTTTTTTTTTAATTTTTTAAATTTTTTGGTATGCTTTAGGGCCCTTGGTACAAGTCACGCACAATCCTTGGTTTCAAAATTGTAGGTTTTAAACTCTACCGATTGAGTCACGAGTCACGTGGACCTACATGTCCCATATTGTCATTTTATATCCCAAGTGCGGCCTATATATGTACAATTTCTTTTTTTTCTTTTTAACTTTAGTAGGTTCGGCTTATATTCAGGTGCCCGCAACAGTCCGGAAATTTTTTAAAAATATTGTTCGTTCATTGCCGGCTCCTGGCTTCTGTTTCCATTTTGTTCTTCAATCGAGCAGTCCCTGAGGTACAGTACAGTATGTCCATGCTGTTGTACCACTTACTTTTTCTTTTTCTTCTTTACTAATTCCATTTCTTCCGTTAAGAATCACATAACAATTTAATTTAATTATTCAAATTGGAATAAATCATGCATAACCAAGGGGGAAGTTCAGAATGACATAAGCCAGCTAGGACTATCAAAAAGGAGGGGTCCACGTCATGAGCCTGCAGTGACTGCTGGTTCAACATGTAAGTAAGGTATCAAAATGTTTGTAAGGTATTAAAAATCCAAAAGATATGAAGTTGGCAAAAGGGTCTTCATATGTGAGGGAGGGGGTTATTCCTGGAATCCTGGGATCCTGGATTTGGGAAAGAGCCTGTTTTATAGAAAAATGTAAATATGATCATTATTAACATTTGATTAGGAGATTCATATATTGTTATTTTAAACAAATGTATCTATTTTAAAAAATCTCTTTTAGAAATGGATCTGAACAGACAGCAGTGGTCTTAGAGTGAAAGCGTTATTGGAGTAATAGGATGGCTGTGCAGGAGAGTTCATGTTACAGGTGAACCTGGTAAGTGATAGGGCCTTTGATGGGAGAGAGAAAGGAGAAAGAAAGCGGGAGAGCATGAGAGAGAGATGAGAGAAAGACCAATAAGGTATAATAGCGGAGTGAGACCACAATGGAAAAAAGAGAGGAAAAAGGGTGAGAAAAATAAAAACAAAATAAAAAACATAAGATGAAACCATTGTTTCCCAAACATGTGAAGTAAGAACTACATGTTACTACGAATTACGAAAAGCTCTTGTGACTCTGGACGTCCAGTCTTATTTCTTGTCTCTACAAATGAAACTAAGATTATTTTATATATATTATATATATATAAGATTACATATTTATTTATATATTTTTACCATGTTTGCATTCGTACAGACTTTATGAATTCACCGAGCTTCACAAGTTACTTTTGTTTGATTGAAAATGATGGTAAAGTATTACTCTTGTAATGTGTCTAAGTATGTATTAGTGTTTCAGTATGGATGACAAACTGTCGCTGGAGGACTGAGAGTGACGCAACTACGTTGACGTCGGTGTTTGTGACGGAGTACGCAGCCGAGTACTCAATAAACTGCTTAAGCTTGCCTCGAGCATCTGATTCTAGTGATGTGTCGTTCGCGAGTGATTCGTTCAAAATGAAAACGAATCTTTCATATGAGTCGTGACTCCCGAGTCATATGAAAGATTCGTGACTACCGAGTCATATTCAATATTTATTCATATTGAACTCACAAATCACTCAGTGCGAACTAATCACTCACTGCAAACAAATCACTCTCTGCTAACTAATTTTTCACTACGATCTAAATACTATGCAAACGAATCTTTCACTGTGAACGAATCTTTCATTGCAAACGAATCACTGTGAACTAATCTTTCGCTGTGAACTAATCTTTCCCCGTGAACTAATCATTCTCTGTGAACTAATCTTTCGCCGTGAACTAATCTTTCAACAATAGGGCTAAAGAGCCACCTGCTGTAAAACAAATGAAATGGTTAGTTCAAGATTCGTTCACGACTCGTTCATTTTACTGTTCGAGAGTCAAAGATTCGAATCAATAAAAAGAGTCGGTCTTCTCATCACTATCTGATTCCGATATTGTATTTAGCTCGAACTCTGAAGCTAACTCTAACAAGGGTTGTACGATACTGTCAGGGAGAGCCCTGTTGTGAACGTGAGCCCAACCAACCCAGATGAAGAGCGGCCACTGACGTCACTCTCCTGCGCCGCCTCAGATTGCAAAGTCAGACTGAATTTTGTTTTTTTTTGCGGGGTGGACATGAATACGAAAAAGCATTTCCCTTTTGTTTCATTTTTACATTTTAAAATACATTGCTGGTGCTTAATTGCTGAGGTGAATTTTGAAAATGAAATCTTAAAAGTCCTTTTCTTTTCATTTTAGTTTTGTGACTGAATGAGCAGTCTCGATGAAGAAAATGAAAATGCAATTTAGATGATTGATTTTTAATTATTTAAAAACTAAAACTACTCAAAAAATGCAGATATATTCTGAAAATTAAAAGGCATTTCTGCTAATGCACTTTAATTTGAATTACGGCACCGATCGTCTTCCATATCTCAGTTGTAAAGCTGTCTCAGTTAATAAAACTGGGGCTTAAATTTGGATTTTCTACAAATTTTGTGCTGAACCCCGCGGCTGCCGCCGCCGAGGGGGTATGGCATGCTGGGAGGTGGAGTGTGGTGTAACAACTTTATTTTAGATTATAAAAACATTTATAAGACATACAATACATTTTTGATTCTAACACTATATTTAAAATGATTTAGTTAAAGTTTCCCTCCCCTCAAACACATTTTTCTAATTTAACTTTACGACGAAGACGAATGGATTAACTACTGTAGAGTCTTACTTCCCTCTGGTGGACATTGTTGTTAACTACAAAAATTGAGTTTAATGCACACCACGCACTGTAGACAACGTCTTACAGTGTTATTGTGCAATTTGTCGTTTATTATGAAAATTGAAAATTTTTCTAAACTGTTTTGCAAGTGACCGTAGTACACATGCATTTTTAAATCTACCTTTTTATTAGGGGTTTTATTAGGGCTACAGAAATGTAGTTTTTGTGCTATCTAGAACTTTGTACTAAATCGCAAAAATGTTGTGGATGTTGTTTTTATGCATGTTGGCAGGAGATGGTTTGGATCTATACCAGGAGTGGGCAAACTTTTTGACTCGTGGGCCTACAAAAGGTTCTAAAATTTGACATAAGGGAAACAGGAGCAAATGGGTGGAGTGTTTTGGCAAGCCACCTCATAAGAGAAAAAAATAACATGGAATATATTGAAAACATTGCTTTTGCTGCTTTAATTTGAATTGAAAATGAACAAAAGCATTACATCAAAATATCTGTCATTCAAGTCCCACGGTATTTAGCTATTTATTAAAATTCTTCTTAAAACACTGAAAATTAAATAATAAAATTCAAACCCCCTCCCTGAAAACAAGACCACAGTTTCATTTCTTTATCTTTTTGCTAAAGGAACAGGAGTGATAACATCTGTAAAGGCCTAGACCAGTCATTAAGCAATGTTTAATTACTTAAAGCTTAAAGTTTTGCAACACTAAAACCCCAAGTTATTATAGTTTTACTGTAGGTCCTAAAATAATTTTCATTGAAACCCCTTTCGGACAGAGCATCTTGGTGGCTGAGTTTAAGCTGAGGTTTAGGTTTAAGTCTCACTGGAATTGGGTTATTATTAAAACTATTAAACAATAGGAGAAAGTGCTTCCTGGCTACTCTATACTGTGACCTAAGAAAGGCAATTGTTGTTGTTTATCTTTAATAGGGAGGTAAAGGACATACACTGAAAAGCTCCTGAAACAAGCAATATATATATATATATTTAATATTCCTAAATTTAATAATTTTATCAAATAGAATTGCCAATTAGCTAAGACTATTCTGAATGTCAAAGACTTTACCCCTCTTCAAGGAAATAAGTGTGCAATATCATTATTCTTAATACATGCCTTTTTATTTCTTGAATTGAGCGGGTCATTTTGTTGAGTGACGTAGGGAAATAGGTTGAACTAAGTTACTAACGGTATTGCAACCGGACATTACGTGTCTATGTCTGGTAATCGTTTGAAGATATTGCCAGAGACGTGCTTTTATTTTAAAAGAATCACCGGATGTAGTTCCAACTATTATACTGAGCGGTAACTTAATACGTCAGTCTGGCGGCGCACAGACAATAATAGCAGGTGGTGGGATCCGGGGAGCGACCGAAGCAGGTGGAAATTATGTGTTAGTCGAGCTTTGATTTGAACCAGGTTTATCACATCATCATCTCACCTGGATCCAAACTACAAAACCTGAACCAGGTTTATTACTTCATCATCTCACCTGGATCCAAACTACATTGCTTTTGTTGTGTATTTCTCCTTTGGATCCACAATGCGGTACTCAGCCCTGTTCATTCCCAGTTGCCTTCTCATCCTGAGCGCTCTCCGGCTCAGTGCTAAAGAACAGCGGACGTGCAGTGAGGTATGAGAAGATGACATTATGAGAGAAAAGCCTCATCGTCATCCTCCGCGTCGTCACTGTTACACTGTCAATGTTATTGCTGCAGTTTACCGCGAGTTGTTGCTGCTCACTTTTGTGTGTGTGTGACTTATGACACTCTTTGCCACGCACAATTAAAATCTTATGGAAAACGACACACTTCCGGTCCAGTTGTGGCGTCATGACATGTATGTAGCAGCATCGTCGGTACAGTAGATTCATCCACATTAAAGCTATCTTTGCTAGTTTTTCAGTAAGCGCAGAAATCATGTATTTTTTTAAAACGACGTCAAATACAATTAATTAATGATATAATAATTCATATTAACCGATACCAACCCCAGAATGTTCGAGAAATAAAACCAAAACATCTTCGTTACAACTGCAGATGGATGTTTGTGTGATTTCGACCTCCACCTCTCTCAGTCATGTTCAGGCTGTTATCAGTTTCCTGCACGTACCAACCTTTTCCTTCCCTCTGTTCTGACTCAACCTAACACCTCTGTAGTGAGGGCTGCCAACCCAGTTCCACACAGACAATCCTCAAACAGAGGAGCACATTCCTATTCTATTGGCTCAGTCCCTGTTCAGAAAACTAGTGGCACTGAGTTTAGGTCAGGTCTTTATTGAAGCACCAGCATCATGGCTTATGTGCCAGTTAAAAAAAAAAAAAAAAAAAAATATGTACCAGTTAAAAGAAAAAAAAAAAAAAAAAAGAAAAGCATAGATCTAGTCCTGTTTGAGTTGATTTATTCTGGAAACTGAATGTACATTTGACCTAGGCAGAACACTGTCCATGTAACCCATTTGACAAAATTAAAGTATTTAATTAAAAGGTTGGTAATGTCCCTATTCTGTATTTCATCACATTGTGCAGGTGTTAAAATGCAGCTTGTCTAAAGTGATTAGGTCACCCTGCCTCTGTTTAGAAAGAAAGGATTGAACCAGCGGCCCTTATTGTGGACCGAGCGCAGTGTGTTGACTTTCGACCCTGTCACTGTTACTGTGGAGATGGCATGTTGTGCTTTCCATTCTAGACAGAGAAGTGCTTTTGCCCCAGAGATAACATTCGTCTTCTTTCGTTATTGCCTTGACCAGCTATATATAGCTTATAGCTGTTGTGGTTCCCTGGTTTTTGAGCAAAAATGTTGAATTTTTATTGCCAACCAAAAGCCTGTACTATGAATGTATTTATTAAAGTAAAAAGAAAAAAAAAAAAAACAAAACAAGATTTTTTGTTACATCTCTTTATGTACATTTTTTAAAAAAGTGTAACATTTTAAGGGCACATTTAAATAAGGAATTGTTTTTGGATCATGGGACTCATGATCATCCTAATAGAAATCAATGAAACATATTTCGAACCAAGGTCAAGCGTGTAATGTCATGTTTACGTTTACGTTATGTGTACCATTAAATGGTTAAACTGATGTTTTCTATGTCTGTGTGTGTATGTGTAATTTGCAGACGGACTACTACTATGAGTACACAGAGTGTGACAGTACAGGTTCTCGGTGGAGAGTGGCCATTCCACACAGAGCTGGGGCCTGCACCGGCATACCAGAGCCTGTACGTGGAACAGAGTGCAGTGAGTAACAACCCCTCCAACCCCTCTCCCCACCCCCTCCTCTTATCGACAGTTAAGAATGTATACCTCTTGATCACAACATGACCCTAGTTTGGAAAACAGTAACACCCAAATCAGAATAGCAGAGCTACAGAACAATAACCTCAGACCGCAGAACAACACTATCTGGTTTTCAGTTGGTTTACTAATGACAACAACCGCTGCCCTTGTTGTTGTTGTTGTTATTGCAATTAGCTCTCACTTTCAGTATGTCTCTAATGAGACCCAGTAGGGTAAAAAGGTGAGATTTTCCAACCTAAATTATTTACATTATCACTGACAGGATTGTTCCTTGTATTGTTGAAGGAGTATAAGTCGCAAACCTGGCCAAAGTATGAAAAAAAGTACGACTTATAGTCTGGAAAATATGGTAGTTGTTGAACTTATTTTCAGAGAAACTTAGTTCAGTTTGGAGTTTTGGCTCCTGCTCTAACTGTAAAACTGTTTTAGTTTCTTAGTTTTTATGGCATGTCCATCATGTGGAGAACGCTGACGATGCTGAACATTGAAAATTGGAGAAAATCCAGCAAATTACTGTTATAAAGTGTTTGTGAAGAGGAAAATTCTTAAAGTAGTTTTTTTTTCTTCTAAATGTTTCTATCATCTAAAGTAAAGTTGTTATTGGTTATATTGGTTATAAAGCGTTTTTTGTTACTATTTTGAGTGGATTTACACAGTGCGGGTGAAAACGACCCACAATATCATCTTTGTAATCTGCTCTGCGCTGACATTCCTCGACACATTAAAGCGTCCAGATTTTACACACGGGGTCATGACCCTGGAAGCTCTTTGTTTGTAAATGACTGGTTATTTTTTACGCAACAGCGTGTGTCGGTAAATAGTTTTGGCGCGGCCTTATCATCTGGGTGATTAGGAGGGTGATGCACAGCTGGGGTGACAATATCTATACACGGTGATGTACGGGCTGTGTTCATAAAGAGACAGCCGGGGAGATGGATGGAGTACAGATTAAATATTAGGGGAAATGAGGACAGTTTCATGAGCAAAGATAAACCGACACTGACGACGCTTCACCCAGTGGAACAAGGTGGAGCACAAAATCTCAACACCGCAATTATATTCAGTTGTTGGTGGAGCTCCAAGTGAAAGATAATTCAGGTTTATCTGATGTTACTCAGATGTGATTGCGCAGCAGCAAATCTGTTTTGTTGGTAGTGAAAGTTGAAAACGCCTCATTGTGGTTAATGACATCTCAATGCTGAAGGAAACATAGGAGATAAGAAGAACTGTATATACATATATTCTGATACATATTTGTCAACTCTAAAACAACATACGCCTCCACAGACGTGGACGTCAACATACAGTAGTTTTTTCTAAAATCGCTGGCAAATTGAGAAGGTAGAAATAAGGTCGTCATATAATGACCTCAATAATGAGGTCTTTAGAGGGACAACACAGACAGGAAGGTTTGGAGAAAAAGCTAGAGATGGAGCTACCAGGTAGGAGACAAAGAGTAGAAGATGCAGAGAACAAGGAGAGATGGAAAACAATGATTCGCTGTGGTAACCCCTGGAAAAAAAAAGGGACAAAGCCGAAAGAAAAAGAAGAACAAGCAGAATGCTAGGTCTCCAAGTGTCGAAGACACCGTGTATTATTCAGCTCAGGCTCGAATGGGGAAACAACCTGTTGCAATAAATCAATATTTCAAGAAGAACTAGCAGCTTTCTATTTCTTTGAAGACGTAGGCTCTTCTTCTGTCTCCTCACTGGAGACTTTTACCCTGCGCCAAGAAACTTCCCAAAGATGTTTTTTTTCCTGTTCATTTTGCTAGCTCGGGGGGGTGGTTCAATTTAGTGGTAATGTTTTATTTGTTACCGGCCAAAGCAGACCATTTGAGAAGCATCTGAGAGAATCCGGTAATATTTCAAAAATAAAACATCATTCAGAATCAGATAATAAATGAAAACGGAAATAATGTAAATTATGCATTCTTTCTCTGCGGCCCGGTACCGATTGACCCACAGACCACTGCGGGCCAAATCTGGCCTATGGTGTAATTATAGTTGGTCTGCAAAGACCATTACATTTGTATTACAGGTGTCAATTTGTAGTATTAGCAGTCGATATCATATCGCATACATTTTTGGTTGGTTTTGGTGTTGGCCTGAAAAAAAAAAATTAAATTAATTTTTTAAAAAAATTTAATTTCTTTAATGTTTTTACTTAAAGCTAAAGTTCGTTTCCATATGAAATTCAACATAACATATCTGGAAAGAAGGGAAAACATGCACAATAGCAGTCAATAAATATTGAGCCCACGACTTCGTCTGAGTTGTCAATTTTGGACCACTGAAATTGAGTTTGACAACCCTGGTTTAAGGCAAAAGCTCAACACAAAATCTACTGTGTGCTTCTTTTCAACCATTTGTCGTCTTTTTCTTCCTGCAGCCTTCTCCTGTAAGTCTGGGGAATTCCTGGAGATGTCTGCACAAGAGTGCACTAAATGCGCTGCAGGTAGCTACTCCCTTGGCAGTGGCGTCCGCTTTGACGAGTGGGATGCCATGCCCGCTGGATTCACGAGCCTTCCGTCCTCTGTGGAAAATGGCCCACATGGAGACAGCAGTCTCACCTGCAACAGGTATGCGTGGCAGTCAGATTTACAACTGTGGTAGAATTAGTGTCTGCTACAAATACGTTTGTTTTTTTTCTTTCTTGCAGTTCTGCTTGGCTACCACAAGGAAGCTACCTGGAATCTAACAGGGACGAATGCACTGTTTCTCTCATCTACGCTGTCCACTTGAAAAAACAGGGCTCTGTCAGCTTTGAGTACCAGTATCCAGACAACAACTTGCTATTCGAGTTTTTTGTGAGTTCCGCAGTCTATCTTTACTGATATTTCTGTTGGTTTTACAGCCTAACGGTATCGGCCGTTACTGCGGCAATACTGCGCCATCACTTTCAAAATAAAACATCGTTATTCTGTTAGTATCAGAGTCTGAATGACCTGTTGTTTTGAAACAACGCCGGATTATCTTTTAATGAAAAAAGTAAAGGGATGGGTGTTTTTGAATGAAGTAAATTTGTAAAACTGAAAATACATTTTTTTCCACTGCGTTCCTCTGCGACCTCGTTACCTAATAACCTACGGTCACCAATCTGAGGGGCACCAAATCCCCAGAAGTTTTGAAATGAGATCATTATTTCCTTCATATTACGCGGTCCAAATGTGTTCCATAGGAAAAGTCACCTGAAATGGCTTCTGTTGTGTAACTCTCAGCGCCTGCTGTACGTCATCTGTGATTACAAACAAAGTGCAACACTCCTTTAACTGTATGGTGGGTTACTGGCACCATAACTAATCAAGCCAAATTGTTCCTGTACCTGTTTTTTACCGCTGTAACTATGGTTAACCTAGCACTTCTCAAATAGTGGGACAGGCACCCCTTGGGAGAGTCAAGAGGGGCTTCCAATGATAAAAAGCCTCCAGTCACTAGGTGGCAGCAACTCATACATTAGTTTGTACAGATAAAAATATGCATCAGGTTCTCTGTAGTATTTGAATTCGCCGGGGTGTGGGTCGGGGCTGGGCGGTTGGGCGTCAAACAGTTCTGTCCCCATGGGTGGGCATGACGAGAAATAATTGAGAACCACTGAGTGTAGATTATTGCTTTATTGACAGCAGTCGTTCTATCGTCAGCACAAGTTTTGATGGAGCTTAAAATATCGTGTTATAGGTGTACTGTGGATTCTAGGAAATGGGCTTCAACTATTTTCTGGGTCTTGTAACCCAAATCATTCCTAGTAGGATGCTGTGTATGAAAACATGGCTAAAACATGTATGCATCACTAGGCCCGAGTTAAAAATATCGCATCGCCGATACTGAATCGATTCTCCATTCAATTCTCGAATATAGATTCGTACGTCCGAATATTGTTTTTTTTTTTTTTTTTTTTTTTAAGAACGAATGACAAGTGGAACCTCCACTCTCATGTGCTACAAACCACCAAAGTTGAAACTGACCATCGCTCTGCCAGTCAGTCTGGTGACCGACAACGCGGCAAATATGGTCCGTGCGGTTGCTGTGAGTTCCGCAGTCTATCTTTACTGATATTTCTGTTGGTTTTACAGCCTAACGGTATCGGCCGTTACTGCGGCAATACTGCGCCATCACTTTCAAAATAAAACATCGTTATTCTGTTAGTATCAGAGTCTGAATGACCTGTTGTTTTGAAACAACGCCGGATTATCTTTTAATGAAAAAAGTAAAGGGATGGGTGTTTTTGAATGAAGTAAATTTGTAAAACTGAAAATACATTTTTTTCCACTGCGTTCCTCTGCGACCTCGTTACCTAATAACCTACGGTCACCAATCTGAGGGGCACCAAATCCCCAGAAGTTTTGAAATGAGATCATTATTTCCTTCATATTACGCGGTCCAAATGTGTTCCATAGGAAAAGTCACCTGAAATGGCTTCTGTTGTGTAACTCTCAGCGCCTGCTGTACGTCATCTGTGATTACAAACAAAGTGCAACACTCCTTTAACTGTATGGTGGGTTACTGGCACCATAACTAATCAAGCCAAATTGTTCCTGTACCTGTTTTTTACCGCTGTAACTATGGTTAACCTAGCACTTCTCAAATAGTGGGACAGGCACCCCTTGGGAGAGTCAAGAGGGGCTTCCAATGATAAAAAGCCTCCAGTCACTAGGTGGCAGCAACTCATACATTAGTTTGTACAGATAAAAATATGCATCAGGTTCTCTGTAGTATTTGAATTCGCCGGGGTGTGGGTCGGGGCTGGGCGGTTGGGCGTCAAACAGTTCTGTCCCCATGGGTGGGCATGACGAGAAATAATTGAGAACCACTGAGTGTAGATTATTGCTTTATTGACAGCAGTCGTTCTATCGTCAGCACAAGTTTTGATGGAGCTTAAAATATCGTGTTATAGGTGTACTGTGGATTCTAGGAAATGGGCTTCAACTATTTTCTGGGTCTTGTAACCCAAATCATTCCTAGTAGGATGCTGTGTATGAAAACATGGCTAAAACATGTATGCATCACTAGGCCCGAGTTAAAAATATCGCATCGCCGATACTGAATCGATTCTCCATTCAATTCTCGAATATAGATTCGTACGTCCGAATATTGTTTTTTTTTTTTTTTTTTTTTTTAAGAACGAATGACAAGTGGAACCTCCACTCTCATGTGCTACAAACCACCAAAGTTGAAACTGACCATCGCTCTGCCAGTCAGTCTGGTGACCGACAACGCGGCAAATATGGTCCGTGCGGTTGCGATAATGGGGCTAAGGCACGTAGACGTAGACTTCGCTCACATCATAAACCTCGCATCGCAAGACGGTCTCAAACGTCTCACACGTTGCGCTCTCTTTCTCCTGCTCTCCCGCCCCCCCCTTGCTTTCGCGTTCATCCAGACACATTCACAGACCCTGGAAAATCACAGAACTCAATGAATATTATAACATTACTTCGGGGTCGCTACACTGTTTTCATCGCAGTACGACAGCCACCCCATATCCTTAAAGAAAACTGAAGGCGAAGTAGTCATTTGATTCAGATTACGTCTCAAAATAACACGAATCGAAATCAAATCGAAATCAAATCGTGACAGTTGATTCGGAATCGTGAGTATCGAAATCGAATCGAATTCTTGAAATTTGAACCGATTCCCAGCCCTATACATCACTATAATACTACATTCTACAGATTATGTATTATAATATATGAATATTATATTTATATATTTATATATATATATTTATATATATATTTATATTATATATTATATTATAAATACATATATAGATTATATTAGTCTATTTAAGTTGAGAGCATACGCCACAGATCAATGGTCGCTTACTGACACCATTTCATTTGTGTTTAGATCCAGAATGACCAGTGTCAGCAGATGGAAGATGAGACCGGCGCTAAGTGGCTTAAGCTCACCAATCATGGCGAATGGGCAGCTCACGTTGTAAGTACCAACCGCTTCTACGTGTTTTATAAACCAAGCAATACTATTGGACAGGAGCTGGTCTTGTCTTGATTCTCGCTCGTCTGACACCATAAACCACAACTAACTAACTTAGCCACAACTTTCTGCCAGTGCTTCAGTCTTCTGTGAGTTGCATACATGTGGATATATATGTAATATATATTTATATATATATGTATATATATTTATATATATATATATGTATATATATATGTATATATATAAATACATATATATATATATATATATATATATCTAATATATATGTAATATATGATATATATAACATACATCTTGCATACATTACAGGCCACGTGTTTGCCCTGTTTGGGTCAGTGTGACCAAAGTAAACAGATCAGAATGAGGTCTCTTACAGATGGACAGACAAATGGCCAGAAATAGGCAAACGGTTTCATAAATAGATTTTGAATGCAAGATTACATCATTATAATCACCAGTACACACAATATGGCATTTTATATCCTTTTCCTAAATATATACATCAATATATATTTTAGGAACTCCATATCACTTAGCTCTATATTGAAGAAATTTACAATTTTTTTTACTAGTCTGTGAACTATGTATTTAAAAATAAACATTTATACAAAGACTATATATATATTTTTTAAAACATGTCTGTGTAATTAATTGAATATAATAAATCATTTCTTTAGAATCACAACTTAAGGTCATAGCAGATACATGACACCTGACTGCATTCTTTTGACCATTTTGCCGTTGTTGGTTTTTTTTTCTAGGTGAACCTCAAATCTGGCAACAACATCCTCTACTGGAGAACAGGGGGCGTCTTGATGGGATCTAAAATTTTGAAACCTGTTCTGCTGAAAAACATCCACATAGAAGGTCAATAACAGGTTTCCCTCCGATTTTCCTCCAACTTCACTCTACCCCCAGTGATACAGAGCAAAACTAACCTTTGTCATTGCTTGCTTGCACAAGGAGTCGCCTACACATCAGAGTGTTTTCCATGTAAGCCGGGGACATTCAGCAGAGTTCCTGGCTCATCCATGTGTGAACCTTGTCCTCAGGACACCTACTCAGGCCATGGTGCCACCTCCTGCAATCCCTGTGACACCACCATCCAATATGCAGGTAGGTACACCTAAAAAATATGTAAATAAAAAAAAAAATAAAACTTGCACTTTGGTTGTTTGATACAAAGAATTCTCAAGACTCTTTGCATTTCGTTTACTCGCAAAGGTTCTACTTTTCTACCTTGGCTAATGACATGTAGTTTTGAAAGTGGAAGTTTGAAGTGGAAAAAGTAGAAAATCAACCTCCCCTCCCCCATGTTGATAAAATTAAAAAAAATCAATATAAACAAATATATTGATAATATGAAATAGTAATAATTAAGAAAACATTTTAAATTATTTTTATAAAATGAACTTGACCTGTCACATTGCCATCTCGTCTGCAAACATCTTGTTACATTT